CGCCTCAGTTCTGGTGCCTTTCGTTCGACTCCCATCCTTAGCTTGTATGTTGACACTGGCTTCCTGTCTCTCCAGGACCGCCGTGATCGCTACTGTCTTCGCTATCTTGCTCGGTCCTTGCAACATCCTTCCTCTCGCCTCTGTCGTGCTTTAACTTTTACCCCTCCTGCGGTTCCTGTTCCTCTTCACCACCTCCCTCTTTCTGTCCGGTTATCTCGCCTACAGGATTCTCTTTCCGTTCGTATTTCTGATGTTTCTCCTCGTGTTGTTCCTTCTTTGCCCCCGTAGAGGGTCCCTCTTCCGCGGTTTTGTACATCCTTGACCCGTATCACTAAAGCTTTTACCCCTCCTACGGTTCTAAAACGCCTTTTCCTTGAGCACTTTTCTTCTCACTCCCGCTCCTTTTCTGTCTTCACCGATGGGTCTAAGTCAGCGGACGGTGTTGGCTACTCTGTTGTTTTTCCTGATCGCACTTATATGTGTCGCTTGCCTCCGGAGACTAGCATCTTTACAGCGGAACTTTATGCTATTCTCTATGCTCTTCGTCTCCTGCTTTCTCGTTGTCAGTCTTCCTTTGTAGTTGTTGTTGACTCTCGTAGTGCCCTCATGGCTCTCGGGTCCTTTAATCCGGTCCATCCAGTAGTTGTCGAGATCCAGCATTGGCTGTTTCTTGTTCACAGTAAATTTAAGTCGGTTGAGTTTTGTTGGGTTCCCAGCCATATTGGTGTGTCTTTAAATGAGCGTGCGGATGCTGCCGCCAAGGAAGCTGTCCGCTCTTGTCCCATCTCTCGTAAAGGCATTCCGTATTCCGACTTTTACCCAGTTATCCATTCCTCAGTCCTTACCCGTTGGCAGGCTTCTTGGTTGTCTGTTACTGGTAACAAGCTACGTACTCTTAAATGTTGTGTTTCCTCGTGGCCGTCCTCCTTCCACCGTAACCGGCGGTGGGAAACAGCTCTGGCGAGGTTGCGTATTGGCCATACTCGCTTAACCCATGGTCACTTGATGGAGCGCCGCCCTGCTCCTTATTGTCCTAGTTGCATTGTCCCTCTTACGGTCGTGCATGTCCTTCTTGAATGTCCTGACTTCCAGGACGAGTGTGTGTCTTGCTTTCCGACCGCCCCTCGCGGTCACCTGTCCCTCAATAGAATTCTTGGTGACTCGGATACTTTTGATATCGTTCGCCTTATGCGTTTTTGTTCTCGTATTGGCATCCTTGGTGATATTTAGCGCCCTCTGATTATTTTGCGTATTTGATGGTGCTACATAGCCTTCCCGGTTTGGTGCCTTCTTTTGATAATTACTTACTTAGCGCCCTCTGATTATTTTGCGTATTTGATGGTGCTACATAGCCTTCCCGGTTTGGTGCCTTCTTTTGATGATCACTTACTTACTTACTTACTTGTTTTTTGTATTGAGGCTGGTATTTTCTAAATTGATTCCATATACAGTATGTCTAACCATCCTGTGAGATGGAAGTATTAGATAAACTTATAGCTAGTTTTTTATCTACACTGTGTAATATTCCATATAGAATAGGGTAGTAGTACATTGCTGTGTATACCTAATCTTCTTAATAAAAAATCAGTAATAAAGATTTTAAATTATAGTTTGTATTATTACAAATTCAGTACTGTATTATCCTTATTAAATCATGTTGACCATGGATCATTAAGATCTCATGTTGATATGTAATAGTCATATTTCTTTTGAACTGCTAATCCATGCTAATCATTCATTAAATTGTGCATTATGTCTCAATTTTTCACTTCCTTGGATATACTGTACAGTACAAAAAGATAGGATAAAAATAAACCAGTAATATTTCTTTCATTATATTTTTCATTTAAATAACTGCATCAATATTTTTACAGCTGACAGGATTTGTTTTACCATACAGGTGCATTATTTGTTAAAAAAAATTTGGTTTATTGTTACACACAATGGTGCTACATAGCCTTCCCAGCTTGGTGCCTTCTTTTAATACTGATTAAAAAATAAATAATAAATACATTTTATTCAGGAAAAGTACATACAGTTGATTTACAAACATAATGTTGGATTTATAGACAGAGCTAGTACATACAATACCTAAAGCCACTAATACTCATAGCATTTCGGGGCAAGGTGTGGGGGAAAAACACAGACTAAAACTTAATAGTAATCGGGATTAGGTATAAATTGTGTTGAAAGAAGGAATAAAAAATACAAAAAGGGGGTTAACATAGCATAAATCAGCAATTGCACATGTTGATGAACAGCGTTGTTTAAATAATAGCAAGACATGGGTTGACATTTAGGAGGTAAGTTAGGTTACATGGAGTTAATTAGGCAGTACTTGGTTTAACTCTTAAACTGGTTGAGAGGGGTACAGCCTTTGACATGATTCGGGAGGTCATTCCACATTCTGGGTCCCTTGATTTATAGAGCACTTCTAGTTTGGTTACACACAGACAAATTGAGTAACAGGAAGAGGTCTTGGACACAAATTTGTTCCATGCTAAATGTAGAGGAATGAGCTGAGTATTTCTCAAATAAAATAAGTTGCCTCAGCTTATAAGGTAAATAAAATAAGCATTTCTCATATAAGTAGCTGCCTCACCTCACTGCCTTACTGCTACATAGCCTTCCCGGCATGGTGCCTTCTTTTGATAATTACTTGTTCCACACCCAAATTGTATAACAGGAAGAGGTCTTGGACTCCTACTTCCCTCTCTCTTTTTTAATAATCTATATAGTCATAATTATAGCTATAAGTATTCAATGAATAAAGTTTGTGACAGTTTTACCCTTCTCCTTACCTAACATCATTTGTGCAGCATATTTTTATTTTATGTCTCACCCAGATTTAATTTCAAAATAAAACGAAACTAAATAAATTAGAAATGGGTATGTATAGCTAAGGTACACCCTTACTACTAGGTAAACAGGGGCATTTGGTGATAGTAAATGATCCCATCAGGCAGGGCTCATCACCTTCTCTCATATTTCATGTTTACCAGTGTTTATTTACTTAATAACTACTGGTATAATATCTTGCTATTATAAAACTAATTCTACTATCATCAAACACATATTTACTTCAAGTTTCAAGCAGAGAATGCATATATAACTAACACGAAGGACTCCTCATCACTAGATTCACCAGCTATAATATTTTGGTCATGTTCCAATATCATAAATCGATCCCAGTGTTATGTAGTAGAGAAAAAATGACTTATATCCAGTTTACGTAAAGCTACGAGTGGTCGAAACCACACTTAAATCCCAGAATGAACTTATGAAGGTTTTTCCACTTAGTGTAGCTACTTGAATATGGACGTAGCCGCCACGAAGGCGCTAAGAGGGAAAACACGTCGTCACTCTGACTAGGAAGAATCTAGCAATATGGCTATTAAAAATCATGATGATGATTAATTCTACAAGTTAGTAATTTTAGTAACTACTTGTGGTTAATACAAAGGTTGTATAAAAATACAAGAGATGTATGAAACTGTTGGTTATTTCCAAAAGAGAAAGGGCCCCTGGAGTGATGCAAGGGGCCCTATGGATGAGAGGGGTCCTGGAGTGAGGCAGGGGGCCCCACATGGATGAGGGGGGACCCCGGAGTGAGGCAAGGGGCCCCACATGGATGAGGGGGGACCCTGGAGTGAGGCAAATGGCCCCACATGGATGAGAGGGGACCCTGGAGTGAGGCCAGGGGCCCCACATGGATGAGAGGGGACCCTGGAGTGAGGCAAGGGGCCCCATGGATGAGAGGGGGCCCTGGAGTGAGGCAAGTGGCCCCCCATGGATGAGAGGGGTCCTGGAGTGAGGCAAGGGGCCCCACATGGATCAGGGGGGACCCTGGAGTGAGGCAAGGGGCCCCACATGGATGAGAGGGGACCCTGGAGTGAGGCAAGGGGCCCCACATGGATGCGAGGGGACCCTGGAGTGAGGCAAGGGGCCCCACATGGATGAGAGGGGACCCTGGAGTGAGGCAAGGGGCCCCATGGATGAGAGGGGACCCTGGAGTAAGGCAAGGGGCCTCCATGGATGAGAGGGGATCCTGGAGTGAGGCAAGGGGCCCAAATGTATGACAGGGGGCCCCGGAGTGAAACCAGGGCCCCCATGGATGACAGGGGGGCCCCAGAGTGAGGCAAGGGCCCCCATGGATGACGGGGGCCCTGGAGTGAGACCAGGGCCCCCATGGATAACAGGGGGGCCCTGGAGTGAGGCAAGGGCCCCCATGGATGACAGGGGGGCCCTGGAGTGAGACCAGGGGCCCACATGGATGACAGGGGGCCCCGGAGTGAGACCAGAAGCCCACATGGATGACAGAGGGGCCCCGGAGTGAGACAAGGGGCCCACATGGATGACAGAGGGGCCCCAGAGTGAGACAAGGGGCCCACATGGATGACAGGGGGGCCCCGGAGTGAGACCAGGGGCCCACATGGATGACAGAGGGGCCCTGGAGTGAGACAAGGGGCCCACATGGATGACAGGGGGGCCCCGGAGTGAGACCAGGGGCCCACATGGATGACAGGGGGCCCCCGGAGTGAGACCAGGGGCCCACATGGATGACAGAGGGGCCCCGGAGTGAGACAAGGGGCCCACATGGATGACAGGGGGGTCCCAGAGTGAGACAAGGGCCCCCATGGATGACAGGGGGCCCCCGGAGTGAGACCAGGGGCCCACATGGATGACAGAGGGGCCCCGGAGTGAGACAAGGGGCCCACATGGATGACAGGGGGGTTCCGGAGTGAGACCAGGGGCCCACATGGATGACAGGGGGGCCCCGGAGTGAAACAAGGGCCCCCATGGATGAAAGGGGGCCCCCGGAGTGAGACCAGGGGCCCACATGGATGACAGAGGGGCCCCGGAGTGAGACAAGGGGCCCACATGGATGACAGGGGGGCCCTGGAGTGAGACAAGGGCCCCCATGGATGACAGGGGGGCCCTGGAGCGAGACCAGGGGCCCCACATCACGCCACGGTAAACTGTTTACCTGAAATATGGAAATGTGGAAATCTGACCTGTGCTTGTTGAGTCCCTACCCCGCCGCCCACCCTGCCGCCCACCCTGCCGTCCACTCTGCCGACCACCCTGCCGCCCACCCCGCCGCCCACCCCGCCGCCCACCCTGCCGTCCACTCTGCCGCCCACCCTTCCGTCCACTCTGCCGCCCACCCTGCCGTCCACTCTGCCGCCCACCCCGCCGCCCACCCTGCCGCCCACCCTTCCGTCCACTCTGCCGCCCACCCTGCCGTCCACCAAGTCGCCCACCCTGCCGTCCACCGTGGCGCTCACCCTGCCGCCCACCCCGCCGCCCACCCTGCCGCCCAACCTGCCGCCCAGCCTGGCGTCCACTCTGCCGCCCACCCTACCGTCCACCCTGCCGCCCACCCTGCCGTCCACCCTGCCGCCCACCCTGCCGTAAACTCTGCCGCCCACCCCGCCACCCACCCTGCCGCCCACCCTGCCGTCCACCCTGCCGTCCACTCTGCCGCCCACCCTGCCGCCCACACTGCCGCCCACCCTGCCGCCCACCTTGCCGTCCACTCTGCCGCCCACCCTGCCGTCCACTCTGCCATCCACTCTGCCGCCCATCCCGCCGCCCACCCTGCCGCCCACCCTGCCGCCCACCCTGCCGTCCATTCCGCCGCCCACCCCGTCGCCCACCCTGCCGCCCACCCTGCCGCCCACCCTGCCGTCCACCCTGCCGCCCACCCTGCCGTCCACCCTGCCGCCCACCCTGCCGTCCACCCTGCCGCCCACCCTACCGCCCACCCTGCCGTCCACTCTGCCGCCCATCCTGCCGCCCACCCTGCCGTCCACCCTGCCGTCCACCCTGCCGCCCACCCTGCCGTCCACTCTGCCGCCCACCCTGCCGCCCACCCTGCCGCCCACCCTGCCGCCCACCCTGCCGCCCACCCTGCCGTCTACTCTGCCGCCCACCCTGCCGCCCACCCTGCCTCCCACCCTTCCGTCCACTCTGCCGCCCACCCTACCGCCCACCCTGCCGTCCACTCTTCCGCCCACCCTGCCGTCCACTCTGCCGCCCACACTGCCGCCCACCCCGCCGCCCAACCTGCCGCCCACCCTGCCGCCCAGCTTGCCGTCCACTCTGCCGCCCACCCTGCCGCCCACCCTGCCGTCCACCCTGCCATCCACCCTGCCGCCCACCCTGCCGTCCACCCTGCCGTCCACCCTGCCGCCCAACCTGCCGCCCACCCTGCCGTCTACTCTGCCGCCCACCCTGCCGTCCAGCTCTGGCTTTGCCACCCACGCTCCCTACCAGCTGCCCACCCACGCTCCCTGCCAGCTGCCCAACGCCTACCCACGCTCCCTGCCAGCTGCCCACCCACGCTCCCTGCCAGCTGCCCAACGCCCACCCACGCTCCCTGCCAGCTGACCACCCACGCTCCCTGCCAGCTGACCACCCACGCTCCCTGCCAGCTGACCACCCACGCTCCCTGCCAGCTGACCACCCACGCTCCCTGCCAGCTGACCACCACCCACCCACGCTCCCTGCCAGCTGCCCACCCACGCTCCCTGCCAGCTGCCCACCCACGCTCCCTGCTAGCTGCCCACCACCTACCCACGCTCCCTGCCAGCTGCCCACCACCCACCCACGCTCCCTGCCAGCTGACCACCCGCGCTCCCTGCCAGCTGCCCACCCACGCCCCCAGCCAGCTGCCCACCCACGCTCCCTGCCAGCTGCCCACCACCTACCCACGCTCCCTGCCAGCTGCCCACCACCCACCCACGCTCCCTGCCAGCAGACCACCACCCACCCACGCTCCCTGCCAGCTGACCACCCACGCTCCCTGCCAGCTGACCACCCACGCTCCCTGCCAGCTGACCACCCACGCTCCCTGCCAGCTGCCCACCCACGCTCCCTGCCAGCTGACCACCCACGCTCCCTGCCAGCTGCCCACCCACGCTCCCTGCCAGCTGACCATCACCTACCCACGCTCCCTGCCAGCTGACCACCCACGCTCCCAGCCAGCTGCCCACCCACGCTCCCTGCCAGCTGTCCACCCACGCTCCCTGCCACCTGCCCGCCCACGCTCCCTGCCTGCTGACCACCCACGCACCCTGCCAGCTGCCCACCCACGCTCCCTGCCAGCTGCCCACCCACGCTCCCTGCCAGCTGCCCACCCACGCTCCCTGCCTGCTGACCACCCACGCTCCCTGCCAGCTGCCCACCCACGCTCCCTGCCAGCTGCCCACCCACGCTCCCTGCCAGCTGCCCACCCACGCTCCCTGCCAGCTGCCCACCCACGCTCCCTGCCAGCTGACCACCCACGCTCCCTGCCAGCTGACCATCCACGCTCCCTGCCAGCTGACCACCCACGCTTCCTGCCAGCTGACCACCCACGCTCCCTGCCAGCTGCCCACCCACGCTCCCTGCCAGCTGCCCACCCACGCTCCCTGCCAGCTGACCACCCACGCTCCCTGCCAGCTGCCCACCCACGCTCCCTGCCAGCTGACCACCCACGCTTCCTGCCAGCTGACCACCCACGCTCCCTGCCAGCTGACACCCCACCATCCCTGCCAGCTGCTTACCACCCACCCACGCTCCCTGCCAGCTGCCCACCACCCACCAACGCTCCCTGCCAGCTGCCCACCACCCACCCACGCTCCCTGCCAGCTGACCACCACCCACCCACGCTCCCTGCCAGCTGACCACCACCCACCCACGCTCCCTGCCAGCTGCCCACCACCCACCCACGCTCCCTGCCAGCTGCCCACCACCCACCCACGCTCCCTGCCAGCTGACCACCACCCACCAACGCTCCCTGCCAGCTGCCCACCCACTCTCCCTGCCAGCTGCCCACCACCCACCCACGCTCCCTTCCAGCGGCCCACCACCCACCCACGCTCCCTGCCAGCTGACCACCGCCCACCCACGCTTCCTGCCAGCTGACCACCCACGCTCCCTGCCAGCTGACCACCCACGCTCCCTGCCAGCTGACCACCCACGCTCCCTGCCAGCTGACCACCCAGGCTCCCTTCCAGCTGCCCACCCACGCTTCCTGCCAGCTGCCCATCCACGCTTCCTGCCTGCTGACCACCCACGCTCCCTGCCAGCTGACCACCCACGCTCCCTGCCAGCTGACCACCCACGCTCCCTGCCAGGTGCCCACCACCCACCCACGCTCCCTGCCAGCTGACCACCACCCACCCACGCTCCCTGCCAGCTGACCACCACCCACCCACGCTCCCTGCCAGCTGACCACCCACGCTTCCTGCCAGCTGACCACCCACGCTCCCTGCCAGCTGACAACCCACGCTCCCTGCCAGCTGACCACCCACGCTCCCTGCCAGGTGCCCACCACCCACCCACGCTCCCTGCCAGCAGACCACCACCCACCCACGCTCCCTGCCAGCTGCCCACCCACGCTCCCTGCCAGCTGACCACCCACGCTTCTTGCCAGCTGACCACCCACGCTCCCTGCCAGCTGACCACCCACGCTCCCTGCCAGCTGACCACCCACGCTCCCTGCCAGCTGACCACCCACGCTCCCTGCCAGCTGACCTCCCACGCTCCCTGCCAGCTGCCCACCCACGCTCCCTGCCAGCTGACCACCCACGCTCCCTGCCAGCTGACCACCCACGCTCCCTGCCAGCTGACCTCCCACGCTCCCTGCCAACTGCCCACCCACGCTCCCTGCCAGCTGACCACCACCCACCTACGCTCCCTGCCAGCTGCCGACCCACGCTCCCTGCCAGCTGACCACCCACGCTCCCTACCAGCTGCCCACCCACGCTCCCTGCCAGCTGACCATCACCTACCCACGCTCCCTGCCAGCTGACCACCCACGCTCCCTGCCAGCTGCCCACCCACGCTCCCTGCCAGCTGCCCACCCACGCTCCCTGCCACCTGCCCGCCCACGCTCCCTGCCTGCTGACCACCCACGCACCCTGCCAGCTGCCCACCCACGCTCCCTGCCAGCTGCCCACCCACGCTCCCTGCCAGCAGCCCACCCACGCTCCCTGCCTGCTGACCACCCACGCTCCCTGCCAGCTGCCCACCCACGCTCCCTGCCAGCTGCCCACCCACGCTCCCTGCCAGCTGCCCACCCACGCTCCCTGCCCGCTGCCCACCCACGCTCCCTGCCAGCTGCCCACCCACGCTCCCTGCCAGCTGACCATCCACGCTCCCTGCCAGCTGACCACCCAAGCTTCCTGCCAGCTGACCACCCACGCTCCCTGCCAGCTGCCCACCCACGCTCCCTGCCAGCTGCCCACCCACGCTCCCTGCCAGCTGACCACCCACGCTCCCTGCCAGCTGCCCACCCACGCTCCCTGCCAGCTGACCACCCACGCTTCCTGCCAGCTGACCACCCACGCTCCCTGCCAGCTGACACCCCACGCTCCCTGCCAGCTGCTTACCACCCACCCACGCTCCCTGCCAGCTGCCCACCACCCACCAACGCTCCCTGCCAGCTGCCCACCACCCACCCACGCTCCCTGCCAGCTGACCACCACCCACCCACGCTCCCTGCCAGCTGACCACCCACGCTCCCTGCCAGCTGCTCACCCACGCTCCCTGCCAGCTGACACCCACGCTCCCTGCCAGCTGCTTACCACCCACCCACGCTCCCTGCCAGCTGCCCACCACCCACCAACGCTCCCTGCCAGCTGCCCACCACCCACCCACGCTCCCTGCCAGCTGACCACCACCCACCCACGCTCCCTGCCAGCTGACCACCACCCACCCACGCTCAGGCTCCCTTCCAGCTGCCCACCCACGCTTCCTGCCAGCTGCCCACCCACGCTCCCTGCCAGCTGCCCACCCACCCTCCCTGCCAGCTGACCACCCACGCTCCCTTCCAGCTGCCCACCCACGCTCCCTGCCAGCTGCCCACCCACGCTCCCTGCCAGCTGCCCACCGACCACCCACGCTCCCTGCCAGCTGCCCACCCACGCTCCCTGCCAGCTGACCACCCACGCTCCCTGCCAGCTGACCACCACCCACCCACGCTCCCTGCCAGCTGACCACCACCCACCCACGCTCCCTGCCAGTTGCCCACCCACCCTCCCTGCCAGCTGACCACCCACGCTCCCTGCCAGCTGCCCACCCACGCTCCCTGCCAGCTGCCCACCCACCCTCTCTGCCATTTGACCACCCACGCTCCCTTCCAGCTGCCCACCCACGCTCCCTGCCAGCTGCCCACCCACGCTCCCTGCCTGGTGCCCACACACGCTCCCTGCCAGCTGCCCACCCACGCTCCCTGCCAGCTGACCACCCTCGCTCCCGGCCAGCTGCCCACCCACGCTCCCTGCCAGCTGCCCACCCACGCTCCCTGCCAGCTGCCCACCGACCACCCACGCTCCCTGCCAGCTGCCCACCCACGCTCCCTGCCAGCTGACCACCCTCGCTCCCTGCCAGCTGCCCACCCACGCTCCCTGCCAGCTGCCCACCCAGGCTCCCTGCCAGTTGCCCACCCACGCTCCCTGCCAGCTGCCCACCCACGCATCCTTCCAGCTGACCACCCTCGCTCCCTGCCTGTTGACCACCGACGCTCCCTGCCAGCTGCCAACCGACCACCCACGCTCCCTGCCAGCTGACCACCCACGCTCCCTGCCAGCTGACCACCCACGCTCCCTGTCAGCTGACCACCCACGCTCCCTGCCAGCTGACCACCCACGCTCCCTGCCAGCTGCCCACCCACGCTCCCTGCCAGCTGCCCACCCACGCTCCCTGCCAGCTGACCACCCACGCTCCCTGCCTGCTGAACACCACCCACCCACGCTCCCTGCCAGTTGCCCACCCATGCTCCCTGCCAGCTGACCACCCACGCTCCCTGCCAGCTGACAACCACCCACCAACGCTCCCTGCCAGCTGACCACCCACGCTCCCTGCCTGCTGACCACCCCCCACCCACGCTCCCTGCCAGCTGACAACCCACGCTCCCTGCCAGCTGCCCTCCCACGCTCCCTGCCAGCTGCCCAGCACCCACCCACGCTCCCTGCCAGCTGACCTCCCACGCTCCCTGCCAGCTGCCCACCATCCACCCACGCTCCCTGCCAGCTGACCACCCACGCTCCCTGCCAGCTGCCCACCCACGCTCCCTGCCAGCTGCCCACCCACGCTCCCTGCCAGCTGCCCACCCACGCTCCTGCCAGCTGCCCACCCACGCTCCCTGCCAGCTGCCCACCCACGCATCCTTCCAGCTGACCACCCTCGCTCCCTGCCAGCTGACCACCCACGCTCCCTGCCAGCTGCCCACCACCCACCCACGCTCCCTGCC